GACTTCAGGCAGATTTGCAGATCTGTCACACACAATGGAATGAGAGACTGACACACAGGAAAACCTTCAAGAAGACTTTTCAGATTGCCCTGAACTCTGCTTGATGGTGAAATAAATGTCTTACTGATGTGAATGTACTGAGTAAAAATCTAAAGAAGAATTTGTGGTGGTTGGTGGTAGGAGTCACTAAATTCACTTGAATTCAATAAACATAAATTCAGTCATTTCAATGGGGATGCTCTATAAAGAAAAAAGCAAAACAGAACAAACACAACAGTGCTTGAGGAGTTCAGGTTCTTGGGGGGGGGGGGGGGAGGTTTGAGACAGATAAAAATACAGGGCAATAGAATAATAGCACAGGTTGAATGTTCCTTATCTGAAAAGCTTGAGACCAGAAGTGTTTCAGATTTTGGATTTTTTTTTTTAATATTTCAGAATTTACATATTTCAGAATATGTATATATTCTCTCTGTGTGTGTATACACACACAAACATATATTATAATATCTTGGGTACAGGACTCAAGTAAAAATACAAAATTCAATTATATTTTATATATACCTTATAGACATAACCTGGAGGTAATTTTATGCAGTATTTTAAATAATTTTGTTCATGATATAAAATATCATGGTGTGGAATTTTATACTTGTGGCATCATCATGACATTCAAAGAGTTTCAAATTTTGGAGCATTTCAGATTTCCAGATTGTGGGTGATCAACCTATAGTAGTAGCAATAGTAGGTGAGACCCTGTCTCTAAATAAAATACAAAATAGAGCTGGGGATGTGGCTCAGTGGTCAAGTTCCCTGAGATCAACCCACGCAGCCAAAAAAAAAAAAAAAAAAAAATCCAAGATATTATTTGGGAAGCAGTGTGCCAATTGGCTTCAGAGTATTAAAACATGTATTTCTAAAAAATGTATAAACAAATAGTTTATATCACTTCTATCTTAGAAGTAAACTCTTGCTTAGAGAGGTTATGAATTTGTCCAGCATCATATCATTCATGTAAAATACAGTCAGGACTGAAACTGGATCTTTTGCACTCCAGAGAAGAAGTCCTTAGTCACTTTGACATGCTGTTTTCAAAGCTGAGGTAGCTTCTGATGTGATTCAGAGGAAGAGGAAGAGGGCACAGGATCAGGAAGGGAAGCTAGGATCAGGAAGCTTTTCCTGAAGGAGGTAGCATTTGAGAAGGGCCTCTGATGGGCAAATGGGTTTTCCATCAAAAAATGCAGGTGAGGGGATGGAGATGGCACACACAGGAGAGAAAGCCCTCTGCACTGAGGTACTGAACCAGGATCCTTTGTGGACATACAGATAGGCTATGATAAAGAAGAAGGGGAAGAAGGGGAGGAGGAGGAGGAGGAGGAGGAGGAAGAAGAAGAAGGAGGAGGAGGGGGAGGAGGAGGAGGAGGAGGAGGGTTCAGATTGAAACATTAGCTTAAGATCAAATATCAGAATAGTATATCAAATCCCATGCTGGAACATTCATACTTAACTTTATAGAAAATTGTGTCCCTAAAGGTTTTGGAACTAAAGAATAGTGCCATAGATGTCATGGATTAGAAATATCTCTGTAGAAGTTAAATATGGGATCAGCTAGAAACCAAAAAGATAAGGGAGTCTTGGAGGAGGCCAACTTGGGTCAATAGGGATTAGGGAATGAGGTGGAGTCAGGAATGACACAGGAATGAGGGACAGTCTTTCCCACATATTGCTTGGTACTTAAAGAGAAACTCCAAGTATAAGTTGCAGAAAAAGTACCAAAGAGAAATTACTTGTTTCACTGTCTTCTTAAAATAAATTCAGCAATGATTCATAGGTCATGTATATTAAAAGATTCTTTGGAGCACTCCCTTTAAATGTTATTGTTCTTTATTGAATAAGGATGTTTTTGTCAATAATGGATGAGTTTACAGTTGTAATAATGATTTATGGAACAATTTTTTTGTACCCATTCAGTCTTTCACTTAATAAATATTCCCCCATTGTATTCCAAAACCTGTATTAGGTGTCAGAAATCCTTTGGAGGATGTGTAGTCTTGTTTGGGAGAACAAATATTTACAATAAACTGTAATATGTGTAATACTGATGATAATCATTATAATAGCAATTCATGTTTATCTAATCTTTTGTTTAGCATTGTACCAAGTCAGTTGCCTGTATATGCCTTACTTAATCTTCATAAAAATCTCTGCAATCATGATACACATTTTTCCTATGAAGAAAACATTTTAAAGAGGTTAAGTAATTATTCCAATATTGTAAAAGTAATAAGTAGTAGAGCCAGTGCTCAAAATCAGTCCTTCTCTAAATCTAAAGGTTTTAGAACTAAGGAATGGTTTGAAAAATACTATGATCTAGAACACATTATCCAGTAGTAATATGCTGATCCAAATGAGGGAGGAGTTAGGAGGTCATTGCAATCACTTAGCTGAGAGGTAATAAAGACTTGAGCAGTGACCATGGGATGAGGTAGGTTCAACATATTTTGAGATCATTCTGCAAACCATTTACTTGCCATGTGTCTGGTATGAAAGTAGGCTCAAAGTCCTATGCTGGGCTAAGCTCTGTGGGTCTTCTGTTCCTCCCTGCCCCAGCTGGATAGGGACCCTGAACTCAGCTGTAAGGGGCTTCCTATTTCACTTTTACAGTTTTTCATCATCGCATACCAGCTAGAGCCAATATTCTCTGGGAGAATTGTCACCTCCAAACTTTCCCCTGTTAGCTGAGCATTCATATATAAAGGTCACTCTCATCCTTTCCCACCCCAGAGTGTGTTAAGTGCTGGGAGTTTGTATTCTGAATTTCTCTGAAACTGATTTCAACAGGGCTTCTCCTATACTGGTGCTTCTCCTATACTGGTGCTTCTCCTAGCCATGGTTATGTAGCTAAAATAAAACATGAAGGAGTCAGCATACAATAGGGAAAGTTTGAACCAACAGATTTATAGAAAGAGTGGAAGGTGTGGATTGGATCTGTCACTTAATTGTTCTGAATTACAATTCCTTAACCTATGAAAGGTGATAGTGAGCAACTCATGCAAAAGACTGTTTTGATAATCAAAGTATACTTAAATATATATCTTTTAATTTTAAAATCTATTTTTAAAATTTCCTATGTTCTATTTCTCTCAATTACCTGCACCTGGAGAAAGCTTGGCTGATTTTTCCTCTGCAGCCATAAACAAAACAAATTGTTCACTGCATGATGGATATCTATGCAGCATCTAGCCAAGATGTTGGCAAACTTTTCAAAAAGCTTATGTTAAAAAAGTGAAATTAAGGCTGAGATAGGAGGATTGTAAGTTCAAGACCAGCCTCAGCAACTTAGCAAGGCCCTAAGGAACTTAATGAGACCCTGTTTCGTAATAAAAACAAATAGGGGCTGGGGATATGGTTCAGTGATAAAGCACCCCTGGGTTCAACCCCCAGTACCCAAAAAAAATTAAAAAAAATAAACAATTGAATAAATAAATAAATAAATAAATGATGGATAGATAGATAGATAAATAAATCAATAAATAAATAAAAATGAAGGAAGCCAAATAGAATAAGGGTATGACAAGTATGACATTCATTCACTACCTCTATAAAACAATCTTATCAAAAATATAAAAAGATGGAGAAATTCTGTACCCAGATTTTAATATCATAGAACTCATTAATCAAGGAAACAATCTAAATAAAGAGTAATTATGGTCATGTGGCCATAAATTATAAGTTTGATGAGAATCCTCACAGTAAAGCATTGTAATAAAGGATGATCACCATTTTTTTAAGAAGCTAATTTCATGCAAATCAGCACTTATTAGTTACTGAATTTAATGAAAAGAATACATTGACTGAATTAATGAATGACCATCTATTTCAGCAGCATTACCTTCTAATGCTAAAATCAACCATCTATTAAATATGAAATTACCTTCTTTATGCCAAATTTGAAGTAACTTTAGGGAAAATGATCATGATGGTAATAACAATAATATGGGCTGAATACCTCTCATTCAGAAATCTGAAATTTGAAACTTCTTGCATGCTGATATCATGCTCAAAGGAGTTTGGATTTTGGAGCACTCTGTATTTCAGATTTTTGATTAGACATGCTTGGCTAGTAAAGTCTATGTAAATATTCCAAAATATAAAAAAAAAAAAACCCCTCTAAATTCTGAGGCACTTTTGGTCCCAAGCATTTTGGATAAGAGATATTAATCTGTAACAGAGATAATTGTTACAAGAATAGTTATAGCAACAGCAACAAATATTCACACCACTCAATTGGACCAGAGCTCTGTTGAAAGCACTTTACATGTGTTGACTTAATAGATGTAAAATTTACATCTAAGAATATAATAAATCTGCATACCTACCCTCTGAAGGTTTAAATAATAACTCCATTTTACAGACCAGAAAGCAAGGCAAAAAAGATGAGTAAGTTACCTAAGCTTGTGGAACTAGTCAGCAGCTAGTCTGGGATTTGAATCTAGGGAATACCTGAGGCTATAGTATTGAAAATTAGAACAAAGAAAAAGAAGTTCTGGTAAACACGGTGAAACTAACTTCACATAATGAGTCACATTCATTAACAACACGAAAAATTTCTAGTGGATGGACTGGATTCATTTTATATTTGTCAAGTAAAATATTATAAGATTGTTCAAATACAATAAAAAAACACTCAACCACAATGAAGTCTCAAGTGCTCATTTAAACTGCTGTGCAAAAGAAGGAGAAATAATTAAGAAATTCTGGTTGCAGAAGATTATTGGAAGGATTGAGGATCATTCATGTTTATCAGTAAAACCTCATACCTTATGTTGAAAATGGGTAAAAAGGAATAATTGAATAATTAATTTTAGAACTGGGATATGCTTTACCCCACAATTTTACTAATCTTGATCTTTCCTGTAAAATAAGAACAATTAAAAAGTGTTAAAGAAACCAACATCAAATTTAAATAAATAAAAACATTCTTATTTGCATAAAGAAAATACCTCAGTGCACCCTTAATTTTTGGCGATGTTAGTAGTTCTGTCTGCACACCATTCATAACTTCTCTGTCTTCTAAGTTCTGCGTGGAATCCTGTAGTGAAACAAACCCATAAGCATGTGGATGTTGCACATATAGACTGAGTATTTGAATAAAATGTATCAACATGGGAGAGTAAAATGTTTTACTCTGAATATAGACAGTATGTTCCATTTTCTTTGAAGACTGGAAACAGGTGTTAATCTTTTCAGTGCTTTCAATGTGCTTTTCTTTCTCATTTGATTTCTGAAATGCTCAAATGGCCCATTCACATGAAGCAATATGTTAAGAGCTCTGGAATATATCATTTAGCTTCCTGCGACTCAACTATAGTCTCTTGGAATTGTGCTTTAAACCAGCGTGGGAAAGGAGTACCAAAGGGAAGGCTCCAGTGACAGGTGGAGAGAGATGAGTTGTAAAGTGCTATACTTTGCTTACACCTCCTTACAACACTAACATGTAAAGAAAATGAATTCCTGAGAAAAGGCCACTTGGAAAAGTCACTGTTCTCAAAAGTGTGTGGGAACATTGCAGGAAAAAAAGAAATCTGGAGGGCTGATTGTGGCTCAGTGGTAGAGCACTTGCCTTGCGTGTGTGAGGCCCTGGGTTTGATCCTCAACACCACATAAAAATAAATAATAAAATAAAGTTATTGTGTCCATCTACAACTAAGAAATATTAAAAAGAAATCTGGAGTTTTTGTCATGGGGTGGATTTTGAGGATGACCTGTACCAGAGAGAAACTAAACTGACCACTTAATTTCTAAGCGAGGAACACTTCCATTACAGAGAGGCAAGAAGATCAGGAAGGACACCAGGATGGAGTCACTTTGCACCCTAGGAAGAGGGGCAAATGTGCATCTGATGCTACCACAAGAAGTGGAGGACAGATTCTAGAAGGCATGCCTGAGGTCAGTTCTTGTTTTATGAAAGACATTAGTTCTTTGGTAGGCTCCTATAGCTGCTCTTTAACTATCATTCTCTTTAAAGGGAGAGTCTAATGTTAGTTTTAGTCTCTATTTTCACTGAAATGACAAAACACATGGAGAAAGATCCATGTCAAAATCTCACACCTAAAAGATGGCTTTTATGGTTATGGATGTATAATTACAACAAAACATGTCAGAGAATATATGAGTTTAAGAGGTTGGATATAAGCAATTTAGGTTAATATCTTTTTTTAAAAAAAAATTGTCAATGTACATTTATTTTTGTTTATTTATTTATATATGGTGCTGAGAATTGAACCCAGTGCCTCACATGTGCCAGGCAAGCACTCTACTACTGAGCCACAACCCCAGCCGTAGGTTAATATCTTGAAGAAAATAAGGTGCAGAGTTTCAACTAGAGCACTTTGATGTAGTAGTACACCGATTTAAAAAATGTCTTTCATATTTAGACTGGTAGCAACATTTCACGAAAAACATTTCTGTGAAAAATTTCTATACTAGGTTTTTAAAAAATTATTTTTCTCCCTTCCAAAGGATTAAAGAAAGGAAAGAAAAGAAAAAAAATATTAAAGAATGGTTCATAGTTTATGGTTCTAAATCTTAAAAGATGAATGTCTTTGAAAGCTTCCAAACGTTCATAGTATTATGAAGAGCTTGATAAATTCTTACAGAGAAAAGGAGACAGAATTGACCAGGTTATTAAAATATTCAGATTGTTCAAGCATAAAATTTAACAAACTACTTGAATCTGTGACTATCAAACATGTCAGGATATTTGAGGACCTCATTTTTGCCCAAGTTGTTAACTTTATCTGTCTGTCTCACACAGGAGTAAATTGGGTCTGGTTCTCTGTACATAAAACACATAATACAGAACTCAATGTATTCATTTTCTAGTGCTCTGTAATAAATTATCCCCAAACTTAATGGATTAGAAAATAAACATTTATTGTTTGTCATAGTTTCTGTGAGTCACTTGAAAGTGGCTTAGCTGGGCAGTTCTGGAGCAAGATCTCTCACAAGTTTGAACACAGGGTATCTGTGGGGTTGCAGCTACAATTATCTAAAAACCCTGATAGGGGCCTTAGGATCCACTTTTTTTTTTATTACTGCAGATATATTGAGATACAATTCACATTACATTAGGTTCCCCATTTTAAAAGATACAATTTGGTGTTTCAGTATATTCAATTCTGCAACCATCAACACTAAGGTTAAAATATTTTAATCACTCCCAAAAGAAACCCCATGCCCATTAGCAGTTACTCTTCATTCTCCCCTCCCCTGATATTCACTGCCAATCGTTAATCTGCTTTATGACTCTAAGGGTATGTCTATTTCTGATATTTCATATAAATGGAAACATGATTTTTTAATTAGAATATTTGCTAAGTCATCCATGTTGCAGCATATGTCAGCATTTCATGCCACTTCATAACCAAACAGGATTCCATCTTAGAAATTTGGTTTTTCCACTCATCAACCACAATTTTAGTATTCCCACTTTTGCCTAGTGTGAAAATATTACTGTGATTATTTGCATATGAGTTCTTGTATGGAAATGGTTTCAATTACAAGGAATGAAATTGTTGGTTATGCAGTAATTGTATATTTAATGTTTGAGGAATGGCTACACTATTTTCAGGTATTCACATAAGGTGAAATTTCTATTAGAAATATATTAGGTGGGCTGGGGATGTGGCTCAAGCGGTAGCAGCGCGCTTGCCTGGCATGCGTGTGGCCCGGGTTTGATCCTCAGCACCACGTACAAACAAAGGTGTTGTGTCCGCTGAAAACTAAAAAATAAATATTAAAAAATTCTCTGTCTATCTCTCTTTTTTTTTTTAAAAAGAAATATATTAGGTTCCAGTTTCTCTACATCTTTGACAACACTTGTTATTTTCCTTTTTAAAAAATTTTAGCCATCTTAGTGGGTGTGAAATGGCATCCACTGTGATTCTGATTTGCATTTCTTTAATGGCTGATGATGGCCATTCTTTTCATGTGATTGGCCACTTGTGTACCTCTACTGAAGAAATGTCTATTTGTCTTCTTTTCACTTTACTGATGGGTCCTTTAAAGCACAAAAGTTTTTAATTTTAAGTCCAATTTATTTACTTTTTCTTTTGTTAATTGTGTTTCTGGGGTTGTATCTAAGAAATAGTGCCTAATACAGAGTCACATGGATTTATTCCTATTATCTTCTAAGAGTTTTATAATGTTAGCTATTAGTTTTAGGCCTATTATCATTTTGAGTTAATTTCTATGCATGCTATAAAGTAGGGTTTCAAACTCAAAATTTGCATGTGCCAACATCAATCAGTTGTGCCAGTATCATTTGTTGAAATAAATTATTTTTTTCCCATTTAGTGAAGCTTTTCCTTCATTAAATTGCATAATGAAGAGTCACAAAATCACTCATATCCAAAAATTTATTCTCTCAATATCTGCATAACAACATCAAATGACTAACAATGAAAGCATTATTTCTGGACTCTCAACTGCATTCTATTGATCTAAACCTACACAGTTTTGATTATTGTAGTTTTGTAGTAAGTTTTGAAATCAGGATGTGTAAGTCCTCCAAATTCATTGTTCTTTTTTCAATATTACTTCATTATTCTGAGACTCTTATATTTTTATATTAATTTTATAAGTAGCTTGTCAATTTCTACAATAAAAAACCAATGAGTTTTTATAGAGCCACAATGAATCTATAGATCAACTTGGAGAGCAATGTCATCTTAGCAATGTAAAAATTTCACAAACAGCTAACAGTGGCAGTCAATTAAGATAAATATCCTTTTTGGTTTTGTAATTTGGCTTGGATGTATATCCATATTGTGTCAAAGAAAAAAAAATTGGAATATTTGCTACAAAGTATTAACTCTATTTTTTGCCTTATTGCTTCCTGTTTCTATGTGAAACTTTCTTGTTGGTCCCTAACACAAGGTAGGAAAATACAAACTTTCTGGTTCAAATCAATATCATGCAAGGTTAAAGAGAGTGTTTTCTTCTAGTTCTAGTTAGGTGGTAAGTAAAGGTTCTGTTTATGTCAACAACATACTTGACACTCTGAGTATTTGGAAATGTCAATTACAATTTGAAAGCAATATTGGGCCAATCGCAATGTGATAATCTGCTCAAGGGTAATTCTGAACTGACTACACTTTTGGAATAATTATGTCAAAAACCACAGACTTAAAAAGGAACACACATTCACAGACTTACATGTCCAAGACAGAAGTTTACTATGTTAAAAGTAGCATCCAAAACTTGTCACCTGCCACTGCTATCATAAAGGGGTGGGCAATATAGTGTATCATATCAACTAAGGAGACCGTGTTTGCCACTTGCCAAAATCATTTCTCGGTGAGGCAGTGATGGAATCCTTTGATATTCTCTAGAAATGGGGCAAGGTGGGCAGGTGTATGGGGCACCCTCAAAGGACATAAGGCCAGAGTGCCTTCAATAGTACTGCAGCATCACAGTACTATAGGACTTTGTGGACCAAGGCAGCTTATCTCTTAATAGGGTACAGAAATTCTTTTTTTTCCAAAAGTACAAAATAATTGACAGGCTATAATGTAAGAGTACTTAAGCTTTTCATTCACTAAATTGCATGATGAAGAGTCATGAAATCACACATATCTAAAATGAAGATGATATTTTTTTCCCTTATAGCTTATTAAAATAATTGAGAAAAATCTCTAAAATCATAACTTAAATTTGGAAGAAGGGCAAAAATAACTCTGATTATGAAGAACTGAAGGCATAAAAGCAACTCCTGCTGAACAGCCTCCATATCTCTTCAATAGATCTGAGAAATATTGTGTGATTGCAAATTTTCAAATTTCCCTCTGGAAGCACAATGGTTTTGGAAGCTCTATATTTATTTTTATTAATAAAATTATTATGATATCTCTTTTTAATGTTTATATTCAATGGATGGATAAGATTAGCTGCATAGAATAAATGAAGCTATTTCCACATTTATTTTGTCTCCATTTCAGCTCACATTCCAATCCATTGCTCTTTAATATTAAAGTTCAGCAGGAGGTTGTGTCTTGCCAACTGGACAGAGACCTTTCACATTGTCACTTA